AGGTTTTATTTTTAAGTACTCTCTACACCCAATATGGAGCTCAAATTCAGAACCCCAAGATCAAGAGTTGTATACTCTACTGACTTAGCCAGCCAGACACTCCTCCTTTGTCTATTTTTAAATCAGATTGTTTATATATATTTTTTACTGAGTTGTAGGAGTTCCTTATATATTTTGTAAAGATTTATTTATTCATTCATCCATCCATTCATTCATTCATTCATTCATTCATGAGACACACAGGCAGAGGGAGAAGCAGGCTCCATGCAGGGAAGCCTGACATGGGACTCGATCCTGGGTCTCCAGGATCATGCCCTGGGCTGAAGGTGGCACTAAACCGCTGAGCCACCTGGGCTGCCCTATATTTTGGATGGTAATCCTTTATCAGCTATATGGCAAATACTTGCTATCAATCTTTAGGCTGCCTTTTGCCTTTTCATTTTGTTGATGTTTCTTTTGCTTTGCAGAACCTTGTTTTCTGTTTTTTTTTTGTTTGTTTGTTTTTAAGGATTTTAGTTATTTGACACAGAGTGCACACAGCAGGGGAGTAGGGGGAGCGGCAGAGAGAGAAGGAGAAGCAGGCTCCATGATGAGCAAGACGCCCTTCAGTCTGAACTGAAGGCAGACATTTAACCAACTGAGCCAACCACACAGAAGCTCTTTAGTTTGATGTAGTCCCACTTACAGATTTTTGCTTTTCTTGTACTTCTGGTGTCATATACAAGAGATCATTACCAAGAACAACGTCAAGGAGTGTTTTCCCAAGTTTTCTTCTAGAAGTCTTACAGCTTAAGACCTTATGTTTAAGTCTTTAATATGTTTAGTTAATTTTTGTGAGTGGTGTAAGATAAGAGTCCATTTTTAATCTTATATTCTTATGTGATTATCCAGTTTCCCCAGCACCATTTATTAAAGAGCCTATCCTTTCTTGACTATTCTCAGCTTCCCTATCAAATATTAGTTGACCATTTATGCATTTTTTTCTGCATTCTTAATTCTGTTCCTTGATCTACATGTCTGTTTTTATGCTATTCTCTCTTAATTAGTATTCATACTGTTTTGATTACCATAGCTCTGTAGTATAGATTGAATTGTGGAAGTGTGACAGCTTTGATCTCTCTCGATTGCTCTGGATATTCAAGGTCTGTGGTTCCATACAAATTTTAGTATTGTTTTTCTATTTCTGTGAAAAATGCCATTGAAATTTTTATAGGAATTTCATTGAATCTATATATGGCTTTGGGTAGTACGCACATTTTAACAATATTAGTATTTCTGATCCATGAACATGGGATATATTTCCATTTATATTGTCTTTAATTTCTTTCAACAAAATCTTAGTTTTCGGTGTACAGATATTTCACCTCCTTGGTTAAATTTATTCCTAGGTATTTTATTGTTTTTGATGCTATTGTGAATGGGATTTGCTTTATTTCTTTTTTAGATATTTCATTGTTAGTATATGGGAATGCAATTGACCTCTGTATGATGATTTGTACCCTGCAACTTTACCAAATTCATTGATTAGTTCAACTAGTTTTTTGGTGGAGTCTACAATTTTCTATACATAAGATCATATCATTTGTAAAGAAAGACAATTTTGCTTCTCCCTTTCAGATTTGAATGTCTTCCATTTCTTTTTCTTATCTAAATACTCTAGCTAAGGTTTCAAGAACTATTTTAAGTAAGAGTGGGCACCCTTTTCTTGTTCCTGATCTTCAATCTTTCACTGTTGAGTAAGTTGTTAGCTGTGGGCTTGCCATATACGGCCCTTATTATTTTGATGTATGCCCTTCTATATCTAATTTGTTTAGAGTTTTTATCAGGAAAAGAAGCTATACTTTGTCAAATACTTTTTCTTGTTGCTATTGAGATGATCGTGGGCTATTTATCTCTCATTGTATTAATGTGATGTATCACATTTACAGATTTGCATATATTGAACCATCCCAGTGTTCAATCCCCTTTGATCATGGTATATGGTCCTTTTAATGTGCTATTGAATTCAATTTACTAACATTTTGCTGAGAATTTTGTGCAAAGACATCTACTGCAACTATATTCATCGGGACACTGGCCTACAGTTTTCTTGTAATGTCCTTATCTGGCTTTGATATGAGGGTAATGATAACCTCATAAAGTAAGAAGACATTCTCTCCTTTTCAATTTTTTAGATAGTCTGAGAAGAGTTGTCATTAATTTTTCTTTAATGTTTGGTAGAATTCACCAGAGAGACCATATGATCCTGGACTTTCTTTGTTGGGAGGTTTTTGATTTCTGCTTCAATCTCTTTACTCATTACTGATCTGTTCAGATTTTTTATGTCTTCATGATTCAGTCTGGTAGCTTGTAGGTTTCTAGGAATTTATCCATTTCTTCTAGATTATCCAATTTGTTGGCCTATAATTGTTCATAGTAGTCTCTTATGTTCCTTTGTTTCTGTGGTATCAACTGCAATGTCTCTTTCATTTCCAATTTTGACTTTTGTTTTTTCTTAGACTAGTTAGTTAAAGGTCTGTCATTTTTATCTTAAAAAAAAAAGCTCTAGTTTCACTGATCTTTTCTATTGTTTCTCTGTTATTTCTTTCATTTATTTGTGCTCTGACCTTGTTATTTCCTTCCTTCTGCTAACTTTGGGTTTAGTTTGTTCTTTTTCTGAGGTATAAAATCAGGTTGTTTACTTGAAATCTTTCTTTTTTCTTTTTTTTTTCTTTTTTCTTAACATAGGCATTTATTGCTCTAAACACCCTTCTTGGGGATCCCTGGGTGGCTCAGTCGTCTGGCACCTGCCTTTGGCCCAGGGCGCGATCCTGGAGTCCTGGGATCGAGTCCCGCGTCAGGCTCGCAGCATGAAGCCTGCTTCTCCCTTTGCCTGTGTCTCTGCCTCTCTCTCTCTCTCTCTCTCTCTCTCTCTGTGTGTGTGTGTCTATCATAAATAAAAAATAAATAAATCTTAAAAAAATAAACATCTTTCTTGGAACTGCTTTTTATGCATCCTATTGGATGCATACACCACATTATAGTATTCTGAATTTGGCTATATACTTATCATTACCAATGTGTTGTGTATTTTATAAAAATACACAACATATAAAAATACACAAAATTAGTATGCTTTTATTTCAGCTGGAAGCACTCCTTTCAGCACTTTTTAAAGGAAGTCTAGTGGTGGAGGACTCCTCAGCTTTTGTCTGGATAAGTCAAAAGACTTCTTTCCTTTTTTACTGTAGGTAAACTTTGTCAGACAAGAGTATTATGACTGGCAGTTTTTTCTTTCAGCATTTTGAATCATCTGACTCTCTTTTGGTTGTTAAGATCTCTACATAGAAGCCCAATGACAGACTTACCCCTTGTAAGATACAAGCTTCTTTTCTTTTCCTGCTTTTTAGATTCTTTTTGATTTTTGACAGTTTTACTATCATGTGTCTCTTTAAGCTGTTTGTTTGGTAACCTGTAAATTTCATGAACTTTATTATCCAAATTTCTCCCAACATTTGGACAGCTGTCAGCCATTACTTCTTTGAATAAACTTTCTGTTCCTCTTCCCTCTGTTCTCCTTCTGGAACTCCAGTAATTTACAAATTGTTTCTCTGATGGTATCCTATAAATCATATAGGCTTTCTTCACTCTTTTCTTCCATTTTTACTTGTTCTCTGTCTGGATAATATCAACTTTCCTATCTTTTTTAATTTTTTTTAAGATTTATTTATTTGGAGGGAGAGCACACAAGTGGGGGCAAGGGGCAGAGAGAGAGGGAGAATCCTCGAGCAGGCTTCCTGCTCACGGGGAACCCATCATAGAGCTCCATCCCAGGACCCTGAGATTATGACCTGTGCTGAAATTGAGTTACATACTAAACCAACTGAGCCACCCAGGTGCCCCTCAACTTTGCTGTCTTTCAAGTCACAAATTCTTTGTTCTGCTTCATCTGTTCTGCTGTAGATATTCTCTATTTCCCTCTTTTCATTCCATTCATTAACTTTTGCAGCCCTAAATTTGTTTAGTTTTTTTATTTCTGTATCTGTTAAACTTCACATTATGTACTGTTTCTGGATTCCACTGAATTGTCTTTTTGTGTTTTCTTGTAGCTCATTAAGTTTCCTTACAAGAGCTACTTTGAATTCTTTATTGGATAAATTATAGATCTCCATGTCTTTGGGATCAATTACTCAAATATTCTTGTGAGCCTCTGGCATCAGGTTTTCTTGATTTTTCATGTTTCTTGACATTCTGTATTCTTGTCTTCACATCTGAAGCAGCAGACACTTCCTCCAGTCTTTACTAACTGCTTTCACCAGTGCATCCAAACTTACATTTCTTTTTTTTTCAGACTACAGAACTTTTTGGCTAGAAATGTGGACTTCCACAAAGGCTATTTTGTCCAGGTATTACTGTCTAAGACAGTATTTTTCAGGTGCTCCTACACCATGGCCAAGTGGGCTAGAGCTGTTTCACAAGCCACTATAGGGTCCACAGCCAGAAGTGTGGTCTGTATGGCTACCACCTGATGCATGGGTGGGCAAGATTCCTCCCAAGTTCTTTGGCATATGGTGTTGGATCCCACAGTTTCCAGAAAGGCATTTTTGTCCATGAACAGATGTCAAATTACTTTGCTGTGGTAAAAGGACATGAATGAGGGACACCTTATTCAGCCACGATGCTGTCATCTAATTTTAACTAATTTAAATGTAAAACACTACATAAAGCCAGTGATCACCATATTGTAGAGCCCAGTTATAGAAGCTTTGTTATACATATACTGTCTTACTGGAATTCTCTTATAGAAGTAAAATTAAAGGGAACTTGAAGATTATTGACTTTTGGGTATTCAATTAAGAAAAAGTAAATAAAGCTAAATAAAAAGTAACATTTCTAGCATAAGATGTCAGTTGTGATCTAAAAGCTCATTTTCCTTCATAAAGCAGTTATCAGAAGTCATTAAAGAATTTCTCTTAACCCCTGTGAAACAGGTTTTCAAGATAATTACTACAACAACATACCAGGGTTCCATTTACATCCTGACTCAGGTTCTTCAACTCCCCAACAATGAATGCAACCAGGTAAGTGCTCATTTTCACACTCTCAGAAAACTCATCCTGAACAAGTCCATCTTCCATGATGACTGATGAATTCTACAAGCAAAGGGGAAAGGATAACTAGGTTAACTATGGGAATAAATGACAGTAACAAACTAAGAAATTGAAAATTCAAATAGGAAACAAGTAGCGAAGATGCTGGCACATTTTAATCTCTCAGGACAAGAGCATGACTCTAGTCTAAACAGAGCATGGCCCTTATTCTCAATCTGTTCTATCATCCGTCATCGTGAAAATCTTAAAGGAATTTTTAGTTTCAAAAGATCCATTTTAAATAAATGTAACTTAGAAATAGTAAATATCAGTGGTTCTGTTTCTCCCCTTTAAAATATCACCAAAATCCTTATGATGTAGGACCACTCCACTCTACTGCTACAAATACAGAAGAAGGAGCTATAGTGGGGTATCCCTCTGACAGATCTGAAACAGCTTTTTAAAATGCCATGTTGATGACCTTAAGAAAGCTTAGTGGGATCAAAGGTGGTAAGTCTCTACAGAAGTATGCAGTAGACACAAGATGAAAGAATGCAGGCAAACCTGTAAGATTTTCTGATGATTAATTAAGATGTTTTTGTATATTAGGCAAGGAGGCACCTCTTTTATTTTTATTTTTTTATTTTTTTAATTTTTATTTATTTATGATAGTTACACACACACACAGAGAGAGAGAGAGAGGCAGAGACATAGGCAGAGGGAGAAGCAGGCTCCATGCATCGGGAGCCCGATGTGGGATTCGATCCCGGGTCTCCAGGATCGCGCCCTGGGCCAAAGGCAGGTGCCAACCGCTGCGCCACCCAGGGATCCCAGGCACCTCTTTTAAAAGAAGATTAAGGGTGAAGAGTATGGCTAGGAGTGGAAGTACTGAAGTGATGTCCCTGTTTAAGGACAGGTCACAACCCCTCCTACCAACAAAGGTTGACTCCATAGTCCGTTAGACGTGGGTGGTCCTCTCTATTAACCACATGGGTTCTGAGAGGCTCCTATCAGTTCTACATGGCAACTCATGTGTCAGGAAAAAAACCAAAACCCTAGGTTCTGTTTAGCATAAAAGCAACTCTGCTTGGTTTTATCCCCACTGCCTCCCACACAGAATTTACATCCAAGAAAGAGGTTCATGTTCTTGTAAAACTTTCATGTTACAATATAGATTTTTCAATAACCAATAAAAACTAAAATCAATCATGATTCAACACTAACACGTATCACTATTTAGAATAGCAAATTCACCATGTCTCAGAAAATACCACCATGATCTTTAATACTAGTTCATATAGTATTATTATTTGTACAACTTTAGTATAAAGCACATACTTCACATTTCCTGCCCACGCATTCCACATCCAGCAGGTCTTTCTCTTTCTTCAACTGCTCCTTGGGCTGACTTCTCAATTAATTCCAACATATATTTAAGTTTTAAGCATTTTAAGAAAGAATAAGAATGTATATGATTTTAATCATTCTCAACAGTATCACAAAGAGGAATTCAAGTATTCATAAAAAAGAAAGAGATCCACTCAAAGATTTTACATTAAGGAACAGAACAGTACCTTAGGCATATTTGATAAAGCAGTATATTGCTCATCCCTTATGATCCTGATGATAAATGTGGCTTTAAATCCTGGTTCATCAAAACAAGGAAAAGCAGATCTTGCTGCCAGGGGTTCAAACTGAGTTGCTGCAAAGTACCTAAAACAAATGCAAATTCATCCAACAGTTATTGAACACCTGCTATTGATGGTATCTTGCCAAGCACTAGGGATACTAAGATAAACCTGGTACAATCCCAGTCATTAAAGGATCTGTAATCAACTGGGAGAGGCATACCTGTCAGACTGCAAACCATGTCATTAATATTGACAATAAAGCAGTGGAAACAAAGGGTAGGAAACAAATTCTGACTAGCAGTTAAGACACTGTATGGAAACTGGTAATAAAATTTGAAGACAGTCTTTAAAAATGAGGGTTATTTGAAATGGCAGAGAAGGGTAGAAGGTACACTATGAAAAGAGTGGGAAGTACAAGGAAAGACAGAGCAATGGATACTCAGGGACTGGAGGTGGCTGTCCACAATGGCTGGAGATGAAGCCACAAAGGTAGCCATTAAGGTCTTAAAAAGGTTTCAGATGAAGGTCAGTATGAAGGGTGGTCATTAATGGCCATCTGTACAGTCTCTGGCTTCACAACACCAAATCTTAAATTTACTACTTCACTTCTGTGAAGACTAAAAATACTAGGTGCTCTGTAGTATGATGGTTTCCTTTACCATCTTCAGAATAAAAAAAAAAAATGTTCTCCCTCTCCTACAGCACAGCAACAACACATGAAATTTTAACCCCTATGAGAGTCCTCAATTAAAAGTTGGGAGAAAAGCATAAAAAGAAAAAGAGGAGAAAATCAGATTTGCAAGTGAAGCAGAGCAACGAAACAGATCTCCATTCTGGAAATCATCCAAAGATAGCCTAGAATAATCAGAGCAAGTGTGGCCCTATTGCATAGTTTAGGTACTAGTCAATATGGCACGTATACAATCACCCCTCTGGACAGGAAGTCCTTGGCTTGTTCAAGGCTTAGTTTCCACTTTTAAAAGATACACAGAAAAGAGTGTGATTTGGAAGAAGACCCCAACCCTGCACTTTACCAGCCATGTGACTGGCAAATCACACACCTCAGTTTCTTTATTTATTAAATTAGGACCGAGGTAGGATCCTCTGCCAAACATTCAGGGTTTTTTTTTGTTGTTGTTGTTGTTGTTGTTTTTAGAATCAAATAAGACTATTCAAAATAAAAACTACTTGTGTGTCACAAAGTCCAACACAGATGCTTATTATAAATGCAAGACAGTCCTCTTTATTCACACTTAAAATTGTGCTTTTGTCCTGATAAGGATTTGCTCAAGTAATTGTTTCTATTGAGTAAATGGCACAAAAGTTAGCAATCAACACACAGACACAATTTAAACATAAGTTGTTAATACTCAATTTCTTCACTCCACTCTCAAATTCTTACCTAGTTAACAGAAAATTATGGAAGAAGGCCACAAGAGACCAGGGGATAAAGTTTAATGATATCCATAATATGCATATAGTCTACTTAGACCAATACTTTATTATATAAAAACTGGACCATAATGTTCTAAGACAAAGGAAATCTTAAATTTTTATTCAAAGGGATTCAATAATAACTATCTTACATAAAAGTCTCTTTGAGAAGGCTGCTGCTTGAAGATACTTATAATCTATCTTATCTATGCTGAACACCCGGAAGCTTATTCTTTCATTAGTGACTTCCTTTGCTTTCAGAAATACTACCTGGAATTTGAGAACTACTGCCAACAGCGCGGGAGACAATCATGAATTAGCTGGGGGTCACGTAAGAGAATTCTAACCACTGAGAGTAACAATGGGTAAATGAAAAAGTGGTGTGAACTAAGAAGGCAGTAGATCATAGTGGTCAAGAATGGCGTCCCAAGTTAAAGTGACCTTTGAGGTCCCCCTGTGCTACCTGCTAGCCGTAAGATGTTAGATTTACTTTATGTGCCTCTGCTTCATTACCCGTAAAATGAATAAAATATTAATATCCACCTTTTAATGGGTTTGACAAGACAAAAGATTAGACATATAAAATGCCTGGAAGAGTTTCTAGCACTTCAGTTCTCAGTAAATGCCGATTATTATCACTGGAATTCAGCAAAGTGCACATGAAGTTTGTTATGGCAGATGAGGGATGTGAAACAAACAAGGGCCCAATCTGGAAGAATCTTGAACTAAATCCTGTTAGAAAAGAGGAAGTACTGAAGGATCTTAAACCAAAGACCACCATGGTTAGATGTGTACATCTAGAAATAGGAGTCTGGCAACAGTGAGGAAGAATGGCAGCAAGAGAAAGGGAAAGCAGTGACAAGATTTGAGGCCAGGAGACCAGTTAAGATACTTGAAGAGTTCAAGAAAAAGGGACTAAGAAACTGAAAGACAAAGAAAAAAAAGATCCCCATCCTAAATTTGTTTACTAGTTCTTCTAGTAGCAGTTATTATCTAGAACCTGAAGTATATCATCAACACCTTCAGACGGAACTCCAGGTTCACTGACCAGCTAGCTCTACATCTTAGATGACATAGGTAAGATTCCCTTACCACAAATACATGTTTGACATTCAAATATACTCTGATTTTCCCATCAATAAGGAACACATCCCTTAATTATGTTATCTATTTGTATATATAGTTATTATACTTCAGAGGGAGGATACAAAAACTTTCTCTAATAAAACTATGCAAAATTAAAAGTTGGAGAGAGACCCCCAAAATTGCTTTGAATTATAGTTTTCCCATATCTTGAAAGGTATAAATAACCTTCTCAACTTTTATCTTCCCTTAAGCTATACAATCATGAGGGGCATTCATTTTACTGAAGCAGGTAGGTTAACAGATTTATATATGTTTTGTAACAGCAGAATTTCACATATTACTTTGTTTTAATAGATTTTAAAACAATATTCTATTTCTTATTTTTAAGAAGTTGTCTTCTCTATTTTTCTAGCATTTTCCATAACTCGAGGTAGCCCATGGCAAGAGTCAACAAGTGACCATACCCAAAATCACTGTTATCTGCCATATATTTATTCCTTCCATTATATAGTAGTAGGCCCAAGGGACTCCAAGGGCAATAATCCAATTGGAAGAGATGACTACTGGATTTGTTTTTAAGGTTTGTTTGCACTGTTTTTATGTACCTCCTATAATTCCTGGAGATAATGAAGATTATAAAGGGAGAAATAAAGCCAAGAAGCCATGAGCTGCCATTATAATAATAAATTTGCTTTTTTTTTTTTTTGGATCCTGTTTACTGCATTACAGTGCAGTTTTATTTTGTTAATAGTGACATTTGAAAATGTAAAGTTCTAGTTTTAGATTAGCATGAAAGTAAAAGGGAAAGAAACACAGACCCACAAAGGAAATGGGTGTGAGCCTGTCCTGGGTCACGTTCACCTCTGGCAGTGCCCACGGCCACATCTCAGAATTATAAATTTGCTTTTAACATCAGATCTCATGTAAGAACCAGCATGCCACTTTTTTCTTAAATAAAGGCAAAGAGAAAAATTACTTATCTGAATAGGTGTATAAATCTTGCTTTGTCTTTCTCCATTTAAGAAGGATTAAACCATTTCCTTAAGATAGATTTAAAATATTCATCTATTTTTTCAGTACACCAACACACATTTGCCAATGGCCAGCATCAGCAATTCACAAATGGGCTTACAAAGTAATATGAGTGTATGTGCCAATCAAATTAAACAGATGTCATAAGGATTTCATATACATAAGAGAAATGACATTATTGCTACTTAAGAATAACCTGTATGCAGTGTGCAGTGCATCTTTCCAGAAACTGAAACTAGATACTATGAATGCTAAGGTTAAAGTGAAAAATACATAGTCTAAATAGGGAGCTGAACACTCTTATGTTGTGAATCACCTTTTTTTTTAAACCAAATTAAGTCTCTCCTAGATTTTTTTTAAAATTCCATCAGAAATCCAAAACAGAGTGACTTTTTCATGAATAGCAAATATTAAGGACACTAAAAATGACATACATTAGGTATACAACAGTTCTTTCTGTCCCCTTTCTCCATCCCACTAAGCACTTCCTAAAAGCTCTGCACATTAGGAAAATAGGTCTTAAAAAATAATCCATACTCTTCTTTACATCCCATGGAGATCTTGTAAGGTGACTGAAAACTATATTCATCTAAGATACAAAAAGCTCAAAATAACTTAAGATTTTGTGTTAGAGAATATAACTGATATAATCTTTACCCATTTCCTTCCATTGGCATGCTTAAGTCCCACCATGACATATGATATATATGAGCATGATAGATGCTCAAGGCTTTGACTAAGACAGAAATAGTATCTTCTTCCAAATCACCTACTATTTTGCATATAACCTTCTAAGTTGAAAGAAAAAATCCAGCTAATGTCTCCAGTGTGGGCAAAGGAATCCATATTATGTAAGTCATCACAGAGCAAAGAAATAGAATCATTTAAGAAGGCTACATACTTTTTCTCATTACTTTCATCTGTGTAGGAGATTCCATAAAACCCATAGTAAGAACTAGATATATTCGCCGAATACTCTATCTTCAAGCTATAATTGTGTCCTTCAAGAAGGGCCTCGGGGGCAACGATGGCAATTTGTTCGTGAAATGGGTATTCCAAGATCTCAACTTGTTTTTCTTGACTTGAAACTGCTGACATAAAGGTCACTCTTGAAATATTATGGCCTGTACTGTGAAGAATGATATTCCATGTGGCCTGAAGAGCCTGAAGTGAAATTGTCACAGAACCCCTGCATGTCATTGAGGTTAGGTTTGGATGTAGGTTAAGTTCATAGCGTAGTGGCATAATGGTGGTGGGAAGCCTGACTTGTGCCCAGGGAAACAACTTTCCATTTGTTGCAAGTGGCTGAATTACTCCCATGGATTGGTTTCTTTTATGGCAGCCTTCTTTGGTAAAGGTACATCTGGGCAGAAGATAAATCACCATGATTATAGAAACGGCAACCACAATGAGGAAAACACAAACCCCCATGGTCCTGGCAGAGGGTACAGAGCAAGGCCCATCTGGGCTCGGCCTATAGCCGGTCGCACTGTTCCGAAGGCCTGAGCTTCTGTTCATGAAGGACATGCCCAGCAGTTTCGCAGATGACTCATAATCCTCTTCATCCTCATCCATCTCATGCTCGCCAAGACCCCGCACCAGCAATCTTGAACCCCGGGGCTCATACTCCACCTCATCAGGCTCTAGCGGATGTAAACAGGGCTCTTTGGCTAAATCTACCACATCTGGTTCTTCTTCAAACATGCTGTTTTCAATCATATTCCTGGGGAGCTGAAGCAAATCTACACACCAAAACATAAGGACAGGTACAGAGTTAGAAAAGAAAATCTCATCATAAAATGCCTACTAGCAAAACCACATTGAATCTAAGAAATGTGTCACTAAGACTTATTTCCATCTTAGAGCTACTGAATTAAATAAGGTGCTTATAATTTTCTTGTGTCATCCATTAAGAAAACTCAAGCGTAAAATACAAGTTTACCACAGTCATGAAACAAAAAAGCTAAACAAATGAGCTAGTATCGAAAAAGAGATAGCCGAGACTAGACACTAATTTCCTTAATATACTGTTGCCCAACAGCCTGGGTCCTTGTCTTGAGCTTTAGAGGGCCCGGGTTTAGAACTGCTGTGCCTGTCCTCACGGATCACAGGTGTGCCCACCCAGAGTCTATGTCCCCCTTGCAGGGTCTGGACACCAGAACCACCAGAATTCCTGCCTAAAAGGCCTCACACCTGCTTCTGAAGTACTTGTGGGTCTCTGCTGAGTCCGGTTCTCCCTAGGGAGGAACACATACTGGTATGTCCATTTATAGGCTTGAATGATAGCTAAGCAACAGGCTGGGCTATTTTTTACTTCCGAAACAGAGATGTTCCTATTCTACAGCAAACTGAAAGTGGCAAATTTTATAGAAAATTTCCATAATCAAGAAATCACTTAAAAATAAGACAAAAGAACTATAAAAACCAGATACCACTGCAATCCAACCTATTATTTCATGCTTCCAGAGCATTCAGAAACACAACATATAACCCAATCTGTAACAACCATTCTGTATACCATGAGTATAAGTGGATCGATCGTGTGTTAGGGTAGTAGTGGCAGGTTTCATAAGCTACAAAGAACAATATTCTCCTACTTGCCAAAAATTCCTGAGAAAACAAGTAAAAAGGATAAATAAATTGCACACAGATCAATAATTTCTAAGATAAGATCACTCAAGGATCCTGTCTTCTTTATTTAAGACTAGCAGAATTTCAGCTTTTAAAGGATCTAAAAAATGTGGTAATTAAAACCTCCATTAACCTTCCTCAAGGTGCTTCATACATTATCATTTCTGACCCTCACAACAATTCTATAAATGCCAAGTATAACTATTTTAGGCATTAGGAAACAAAAAAGAGAAATGGGTGAATTTAGCTTCATAAGAGAGCAGTTTTGTCACAAACCTGATACTAAAGCCCAGGTCTAAAAATCTAATTCCAAATTTTAGATTATTTCCATAATACACTGCAACCCCCTACTCAACTAATTCATTAAGAATAAGAATAACTAAATTATTTCTTTTGTACTTGGCAATGAAGTTGCTAAGAGTATTATTTTATCATCAGCAGAACAAAACTTAGTCTTGCTACAAAGTGTGCTCTGTGGACCAGAGCACAGGCATCACATTGCAGCTTGAGAGCGGGCTCTCAAGTTCATTTCCCTAATTTGAATTTTAACAAATCCTTAGGTGATTTACATACACATAAGCTTGAGAAGCACTGGTCTCAGTCTTTTCTATGGTCAGATCCCAGCCAGCGTTAGACACCCCATTCCTGGGTGTGCTTTGGCCACCTCAAACTGCTGACTCTTCTGAGAACAAGACACACTGCTCTTTCAAGCTATCCTCCACATGCCTATCTTCTCTGTTCCCCCTGCCTGCAATGTCATCATTTCTCCCTTCCATCCCAGACTACCAGGTGAACACTTGTTATTCCATAACCCAGGTTAACTTGCTACAATGCTAATTAGGAAATGTTATTTTCTTGTTTTCCTTTTTATTTATTACATTTAAAAAACGAATTTTCTTTTTACTGCATGTCACTTCTTTCTGCTTTGGGGAGCAGAGACCCCAACAAGGTTATCTTTTTCTACCTCCTCTCTAACCTGAACTTCCACACAAGCCATGCTACTTTATAAGTTTTCTTTGTTTAGTTTTTTTAATAAGATTTTATTTATTTATTCATGAAAGACAATGAGAGAGAGAGAGAGAGAGAGAGAGAGAGAGAAACAGGCAGAGGGAGAAGCAGGCTCCACACAGGGAGCCCAATGTGGGACTCGATCCCGGGTCTCCAAGATCACGCCCTGGGCTGAAGGCGGCGCTAAACCGCTGAGCCACCCGGACTGCCCTATAAGTTTTCTTTGCGTAAAACTTTTGATCACATTCTAGGTGTGGGTTTAGCAAGCTGCCATCTTCCCACCTCCTGTGAATGACCTACAAATGGAAGAAGAGTGATTACAATATCCTGCTTTAGGAACTTAATCTCTTAAACATCTGATCCTGCCTCTACTTCTCATGACAAAGTTTTGTTTTGTTTTGTTTTGGATAGTTTTACTGTGTTTGGGGGTCATTTACTTCTTTAATAGAGTAAATATTGCTGTAATTGAACTTAAAAAATTTTTTTGAACTCTTACTGAATTCTTAATGGTTAGAAATTCTATAGTAGTTTTTGGTCCTGGGACAGTGCTGAAGATTAATTGCTTAATTTGCTTTTTCAAAATACCAAAAGGCCTTTTCAGACTTTTTGTTGTTACATATCGGAAAATTATGTTCTTTTAGCATTTTTTTAAAATTAATTAATTTATTTATTTATGATAGTCACAGAGAGAGAGAGAGAGAGAGAGAGAGAGAGAGAGAGAGAGAGGGGCAGAGACACAGGCAGAGGGAGAAGCAGGCTCCATGCACCGGGAGCCCGATGTGGGATTTGATCCCGGGTCTCCAGGATCGCGCCCTGGGCCAAAGGCAGGCGCTAAACCGCTGCGCCACCTAGGGATCCCTGTTCTTTTAGCATTTGCCCTGTGTTTTGTTCTGTGTTAGGCCTAATGAAGACAATAAGGAGGTCCACAAAGTATGGTTTTATTTAATGAATTTCTAAACTATAATTTCAGTTTATTTAGAGTAATCTGTTCTTGAATTCATATCCCTTTAGAACTTTCTTTTTCTGTGTTTTAAGTAATGCCTTATTTAAAGCCAGGGAGTAGCCTACTGTATCACCTGTCTGCATTTCATTTACTTCAAATCTTCTGATAAAGGTTTAGTCAGATACCTTACTTTCATTATTTATCATCCATTCAGATTAACACCTCTGCAGAATTTTAATCTTTCAGAAACAGAATACATTGACCCCTCTGCTATAATTTATTACACATTAGAGGTAAACTTTGAGTATATGTGTACAATATCAAATTAAATATATCAAACCTGGGGAAATCACTCTTGTTATAGGTAATCTATGAGGACTGTACTTCCAACCTATTTTCGAAAATCTTACTTTGGATTCTTAGCATTAAATTGTAATGTGACAATGATTACCCTTGCTCTAATAGGATTTATTTATATTAAAAGAAAGGACCCAAAAAATAAAAAATAAAAGAAGGGATCCATCAGAAACAGGAAACTTTCTAAAATCTCTTAAATCCACATATATACGCTATCTATAAGCCAAAAGCAAAGAATGACCTAGCTGACATGTTTCAGTTTTAAATAACATAAGCCCATATGGTAATAATCTAAGAAAACTGAAGACATTTATTTTCATCCTTCTATGAACTGGGGCTCCTCAGTGTTGTCTGTGGATCAGTGTCAATCTACAAACTGCTGTCTGTGACAAGACACATGTGTATGATTAGTATTTAAAAACTTTCATAGCAGTTTATCAGTAATTTTATGTCTATCAAATTCAATCATTTAAAAATGGAACTTATAGATTATATGTCTTTTTTCATTGTTTTCCAGTAATTTATATTTTCAAATGCTACAAAACTTCTGCAACATATTAACAATTAAAAAACAAAACAAAAAACCTCAATTCTTCACTCAGGTAATAAGGAGGAAATGGGTCGGGTTGTTACTATAATGGCAATCCAGGTCAATATGAAGTTCTCATCTATGATGGCAGAAGTGAAAAGAAGGGATGATGATTAACATGATTACAAGTCATGTTAAAAAGGGAGAATACCCAGGAACAGATGTTCCCTTGGGCCAGGCAGGTCTGTAAGATGGAGTGATAGAGGGATCTCTATCAATTCTCAGCATACATTCTGGCTTGGATAACTGGAAGAAAGAATGCCATTCATTGAGATTAAGAGTATAGGTTTTCAAATTCTCTCTCTCTCTCTCTCTCTCTTTTTTAGGGGGGTGGTGGCCGTAAGAAGAGTAATTAGAATGGAGTCAGGGGATGGCATTTGTTATTTAATATATGTCAGATAGCCAGGTGGAGATGTTCGATTAACAGCTTATTACAGAGTTAAAGACCTAACTTTATAAAGAAGTTCAAATCCTGCCTCTTGGACTTACTGCATGATCTCAAATGGGTTACCAGACAACCCTGCACTTCAATTTCCTTACCTATAAATGTGGAAAACCTAACTATTTTATAGGATTGCTTGAGGATTAGGTTACATGGATCTGGACTCAACACAGGCACCTGCATGGAAGATTCAGATTTCAGAATCACCTGGGTATGTATACAAAATGAAAATCATGCAGACAAGCGAAAAGAGGTAAGAGTCAGAGAGCATCAGCACTGAAGAGGTGGGCAGAGGAATACAGGCAGAAAAGGAGAATTAGAAGGAACATTACTAAAGGTAGGAAAACTAGGACAATAGCATCCCAGAAAACAAAGGAAGTTTTCATGAAGGAAGTGACTTTTATGAAGGAAGGTCACTTCAGGTGCATGGTAGGAATGAGAACCTAACATCAACAGTCCAAAGAATGGAAAATTAACATGGAAGGCAAGAGCTGCAGGCTATTCTTTCAAGGTACATAGTTACATGTCAAGGGGAAAAAAAAAAAACCATAACATAGGGCCAAACTAAAAGAAAATATGGCACAGAGAAAAGTCCTTCTTTAAATTTGTTTGTGTGCGTTTAAGATGGGAACAACTTTAAGAATGCAGGAAAAGTAAAGAATGACAAAATGTGGAGGTGAAGAAATCGACCAGACCAAATGTTGGAATAATATCCCAGAGGGGCAGGAAGACCTCACACAAACTCCAGGAGAGAGATTAACCTTGGGAAGTA